GTAGCGGAAGCTAAAACCCTGGGTTCCTTTAAATCAGAGCTAGATAAGACTTTAACAACTCTGAGCTATTAGTTAAGTTCTCCCCAAACGAGCTTGATGGGCCGAATGGCCTCCTCTCGTTTGTAAATTTCTTATGTTCTTAAATAAAAAGGCAAAGAATGATATCGGTAGATTTCGGGGTGGGTGACGTCATCTGAATTACTGTTAACGAGTAACAAATGCTACCATTTACTTATATACACGCTACTGCGCTGTAGAGAGAAATTCAATGGGATCCCGAATCGCTAACTGCAAACTTTCTTTACCACAGTGGTATGACATAGGACAGATGCACTTGTTTTTACTAGACCAGAGAATAATTAACACCTTAATTAGTAAGAACAACAAAACAAATACAAACGACTTCTTTTAGTAAGCTGCATTGATAGTTAACTAGGCCTACATACAATAACCTGACCCTGACGATATATTTTGGAAGGGGTGGTTTATAAGATCGGGCTGAGAGAAAATATTTCTGCGAATATAGCGCCATGTCGAAAAGACGGAACAAAATAGACAAGTGCATGAGTACTGTTTTAGCATAGAGAGGAGGGTTACATTTCCTTTAAAGAAGCGTCTATGGGATCGGGTTCGCTGTTCCTACCTTATTATACGGGAGTAAAAGCAGAAGTCAGTATCAATATATTCACGTTATTGGCGTACTGTCTACCATCCGATTCAAGAACGCATAACAGTGGCGCGGAAATACATCTCATTCTCCTCTAACTTTTGTATTTTAAATGTAAAAAACTTGCAACCTCGTTCTCCTTCACGTGTATTTAAATAAAGAGTTTATGTATATAGGGTTTTTGGCGTTATATTGGCTGCGTCGACTAACAAGAACTGCAGCCGGTGTATACAAAAATAACACTATACTTGTACTTCCTGGAGGTATGTTCGTTCAAAATACAAGTAAGATCACAGTCCCTATATAAAAGTATTATTCCAAAGCTATGTTTATCGCTTAGTAAAATAGTTTATATGCAACTTACATCTTATACACAGTACCCCTATTTTTGTGAATTAAAATAATAATTCCCAGTTTTCCACATTCGCTTCGTTTTATGTGTCATTGAGATATTGAATGCAGAAAAGACTTTTATTTTGAATATATCTGACCGCCTTGAGTTTTCCCTGATGACGTCTCACATTCGACCATATGTCGCCATCTCCTGGACGCACAGAGGACATACTACTTGTTATTATTAATTAGAGTGATCACACCTGGGATATATAGTTCACCTAAAATTGCGTATATATTATTTGAGGGACATTGTCATAACTATATAATTTTTATTGTTACAAAATTCATTCAATCTTCAAAAAGATACGGTATATATATTTCTGATTACATATAACAAAAAATATTATTTTGCCCATTCTGTTTTTTCCTGAGTATATCAATATTCGACATGTTTTAGACAACATGATTCCACATTTTATTTCCATAATAATTCAAGCCAGACATTTCGTAACAGGAACATTACTATTTTCATTTTTTATTCCCCACACACTGCGGAGAATCGAGAGTGTGTTGGAGTTTGTACACCACATTTTTTTCAAGCAAAAAAGCCACGAATCCACTCGCGCTTATCAAATGTGAACGGTGCTTTCTAATCTTGTCGAAATAAATATTTCACTTATGACTTCATTGGCCAGATCGGTAAAAGCAAAGTGTTATTCCATTAGTCATTCATTGTAGAATTACACCAATTTTTCGTCAGCTGGGAGGGGGGGGGCACGGGAGGAAATGTAACCTATTTTGAGTTACTGTCACAAACCGAGCAGATCGCGGAAGTTAGAGGGATCATCGGCTAATACAGGTGACACAGAGAGAGGGGGGGAAAGGGAGGCGATCCATTTCCAGACGAGTATGTGTGTCTGTGATGGAGAGGCATCGGGGCTGAGGTATCCGTCTTTCTGACACCGGCGGCGGCGGCAGCATCACTGCCGCGCCGGGGAGAAGAGTAGGCTATCGGTGCCGCACGGGATCCGCCTTGCCTTTCACGGCAGTTCACTGACAGCCGCCGAAGAAAAGAGCCATCGGGTCTGTGTGATCTGTTGATGCATAGACCGTGGGTTTGGAGAGGGGACAAAGTCGGGAGGTGGGTTGGGTGAAGGTGGGCACGGATGCGAAAGGAGAACGGAAAAAAAACCGATTGCATGCTGAAATTCAGTAATGCGTCTGCAAAACAATGAAAATATTTCAAGACTTGCTGTCGGTGTGCTGTGCTGTAAATATCGGGCAACGACCCTTGCATTTTTGTCAATAACACGAGTCAAGGAGGGGTGAAACATGTCTGCTTCCGTGGGGTCCCGCACCGGATCCAACGCACCTACGGTTCTACCTTCATCGCCTGATATACCGGACCTCAGTCATCTCACAGAGGAGGAGAGGAATATCATTATGGCTGTAATACTTCGTCAGAAGAATGAAGAGGCTATGGTAAAGTAAGAGAATACCCATTCCTCAAACCCTTACGCTCCTAGTGATCTTCTAGTCCAGTCTATCCACAGACTAAGTAAGATCAGTCAACTTCTGGACTGTATTTTGCATGTACTCCCAGACACCACGGTGCTGGCCACTGCTGACAGCGTGTGCGGTGGTACATTTATTAATAATGCTTACCATTGCCCGTAGGCCTGCATGTTACTTAAGCATGTCGATTTTAAAAGATTGCAGCAGTTTTTGCATCAAATCCCCTGCGACGACAGTCGAATCGCACAAACGACACGTGTTCGGCTCTTTTCAAGTTGCATGGTGGCACACGGATGATAAACCTATACGTGTGTGTATGTGTGTGTGTGTGTGTGTGTGTTTCGCCGTGTGTCCCGTCCGATTCGCAGGCGCGAGGCTCACATTGACGCGAGAAGCGTGTCCCTGCTTGGGAAGAAACGACCGGAGCAGGATGACAGCGGGTAACTGCGCACAGCCTCTCACTTCGCTCTATCTCTCCATCCTTTTGGTCCCTTAAAATAGAAAAAAAAAAAAACTCTCGTCGAAAGCCAGCTTTTATTTTTGTATTCCTTCAGCAACAGGTGCCAAGAGAGATGCAGCAGGTGGTGTCGTTGTTAAGGAACTGTACTTGTAACCTTTAGACAGAAACCTTGGATCTAAGGTGCAGGACGGCTCCTGTACAGTTCATTTATTTAACACCTTTCGTAATCTCTTATCCGGTGCAGGGATGAGGTGTGGTCCGGTCGGTCAGGGGGGTACGCAGTCACATACAATGAGCAAATAAGAGACACCAGTTCACCGACACTGCAGGTCTTTGAACCATGGGAGGGAACTGGAGTTTCTAGAGGATACCCAGGCAAACACTGGAAGCACGTGGAAAGTCTACACAAGGCATAAATAATGCCTGTTGTATAACTGAGTGGAGTAATTAGCCCATGTACAGGGCTGCAGATGGTGGGGGGACAGGGGGGACACCCCCACAGTTTTATGCCTCATCAAGCATGCCTGGGTATGTTTAAAGGTTGAGACCTTTTGCTCATTGTTTGGTCCCCCCCACTTCAAAAATCTCTCCTGCACCCCTGGCTAAGTAAATGAATGAAATTGTAAGATATGGCCTTTTATATATGTCACTGTCTGCTGTACAGATTAATAATTTAAGGAATATAGTTGTGACTGTAATACCAGAATGGTCCCATTTCCCCTAAGAAAAGTTGTAGAGATGGTCTTAGGATTACATAGGAGATAGAACAGACTACATCACTGGCCATGTGATGGAGCTGTGGGCGTGGCTTGGGGGTGTGGCTTAGTGAGAATGGTTTAGTGCTTAGAGCTACTTAAGGGCTGCATCCTAAAACCATTATTTGCACCACCCTCCCTCGCTGCCTTTTCTTTACCCCGGAGGTTTTTCAAAATTCCTGTTGTTGAAGTGCTGTCCCAATACCATAGGGAACAAGTCACCCTTTGCCAGGGATGTGTGAAAGTCTAGTTGAGATTATCATTTGCAGAAGAGAAATTCACCTTTGGTGACACCCATGCATGACCTGGCATAAAAGCTTCTACTTCATTGATGACTTCATACATACAGGCAGAGCATGGAAAGTCAAGTGTGTCTCAATGCCTTTTTTTGTCCATGCTACCTTCCTCGCTCACTCACTCATTCCTTCCCTCATCATCTTCATGAACTTTCAACTTTAGACAGCATGTCATCGAGGGAGGGAGTGAGGGAGCCATCAAAAAACAGTTTTGGAGTGTAGCCAAGGTGTCCTCCAAGACACTGAGGAAACCAGGGGACAGGAGGGCTGCTCACTTCAAGAAAGGTGCTATGAGGTGTGATTTGATAGCAGTCAGAGCCAACCTATGGCACGGAGAGGAAGTATGAGGGTGAGGCCACAGGCTGAGGGTTTGGCCATGGGCTGAGGTTGTGGCCATGGGCTGAGGGTGTGGCCACAAGCTGAGGGTGTGGCCATGAGCTGAGGGTGTGGCCACGAGCTGAGGGTGTGGCCACGGGCTGAGGGTGTGACCATGGGCTGAGGGTGTGGCCATGAGCTGAGGGTGTGGCCATGAGCTGAGGGTGTGGCCACGGGCTGAGGGTGTGGCCACGAGCTGAGGGTGTGGCCATGGGCTGAGGGTGTGACCATGGGCTGTGGGTGTGGCCACGAGCTGAGGTTGTGACCATGGGCTGAGGGTGTGGCCATGTGCTGTGGGTGTGGCCATGGGGTGAGGGTGTGGCCTCGGGCTGTGGGTGTGGCCATGGGCTGAGGTTGTGGCCATGGGGTGAGGGTGTGACCACGAGCTGAGGGTGTGGCCACGAGCTAAGGGTGTGGCCACCCTGCGTGATCTTCCCCCTTAGCCATGCAGTCAGAGTGCATCAGTGCTGTGTCTCTAACATTAATCCCTCCGAGGGATAAAGACCAGAAGGGGCTTTAACGGCTTTGCCTCTAGCATTAGCACTGGAATATGCATAGCGTGAATAGTCTATTACTCCCCTAATATGCTGGCTCCTCCCACTCCCAGTGTAACCAAGCACCCCTCCTGCCATAGCCCCACCCACTCTGGACTGCAGCCCCCAAACCCTTAACATCCCTTGTTCTTCCCACCCCTGGAAGGCTGCTGTGACAATTCCGGCTGCTCCAGCTCTCCACATATCTGGGCAGCAGGTGTTCCAGGAAATTTATTTCGGACCAACCTGGGAAAGCTTCCTGTTTAAGTCAAGAGGGCTTTATTCATATGGCATCCATATACAGGTATACAGTGGCACTGGATAACCCTCCCCCAGGAGCAAAGTGAGGCATTCACAGTCATTTTAAAGGGTGTGAAGACACAGGAAAGTGAAGATAAAGGGCACTGGACTCAACTGTATATACTTAGTGGCTGAATGAAGACAAATAGGTGTTTTTATGCATGGATTTATACTCTGATTGTCACACTGCAATACTGCACTGGGGTTCTCAGGAGTTGGAACATGGGGACATGATTCAATACAGCTGGCTGCACTGGTAAGAGTGGGCAGCGTCGTTGTGACCCCAGTTACCAGTCATGAACTGATTCTTTCCCAATGCAGCTTGCCTGCCAGTGAAGGTAGACCTCGATCCTTTGTGAAAGAAAGTCTCAAAAAAGATGAAGTTCCTATGAAGAGCCCTCGGGGGTGTGATTTGTCACACTGGCTATTGACCAGATGCGTCCCCCCAGCCCACGGTCTATAGATAGACATGCACGCACGCACACTGCCCCCTAGCTGTGGGGCATGTGTCTGCACGGTTGATGCTAGGCCAATATAGCTGTACCTGCAGGTCATGTTGAGGTAGGCAGGTAGCTTCATTAGGGCTCCTGCCAAGACAAAAATGGCATGAGGTTAGCCTCGGCAAAAATAAGATCAGGGCCTCGCAACTGCAGTGCCCAGCCGGGCCAAGGGCATCTGTCGCCACCAGCGACCGGATACCGAAGAGTTTGCCCACGGCACGCCGACGCCATTCTGATCATCGCGCAGAGTGTGTGGGGGTGGAGTGACACAGGCAGGAAAGCACAGCGGGGCTCTCACTCTGTGCTGCGATGTGCCCTGTGGGGTGCCAGGGAAGCGGACAGTGGGGTGGCTGGGGGTGGAGACGGGGGGGAGGACAGGGAGGAGCATCGGAGGTGTCGGTCGGCTGTCTGGTCGGCCGTTTAGAGTTATTTAACAGGACTCGGAGCCGGGAGGCAGCTGGCGGATCCGAACACGGAGTGCGTGGCGAGCATTTGGTACGTAGTGGGTGGACGGGGGGCGGGGCATCCGCACGTGGGTGTTTTTTTGTCGGAGGGGCCTGGGAGCAGTACTGGGAGAGTGGCGTCGGAGCCCAGTGAGGAGAGCAGGACACCAGGACGGATCAGGCAAGTGAAACTCGCACGTCAGAACGGCGGAGGGGATCTGGGAGCTGAGGGTGCTTCTTCACAGGGATGGGTGCCTTTGATTCTGGGCTCGAACCCGGGTCTCACTTCTGCTTCTGCACCCCGATTGACCGTGAGGGATTCTCGCATGGGGTGTGTGTTTGTATGTTTTTTTTGGGGGGGGGTGGTGGAGGTATTGAGCCGGTGTCTACTAGCAAAAGTCCTGGAAAAAAAAAATAAAAACAAACAGGAGAGCCACCTCAAGTGGCGGCTTCCTGTGACTCCGGTCCCGCTCGCGCCAGGTGTCCCGTCCGTCCATCTGCTAGGTGTCAGGTAGGTGACGCCGGAGCGCGGTGCCCGAGGTATGAGCCTGGTGGCATCAAAGGCGTCGTCGAGCTATGAGCCGCTAATTGTGCCCCTTTTCTCAGCGGGCCGCCGGGGAGGTAACCGTCAGGATTAGGATGCGGGCGGATGGCTTACAGGAAGTGCTGCCAGGAAACTCAGCTCCGTGTTTCTGTGTATATGACCGATCGGAGGGTCGCAGTACAGCACACCTTAGTATCTAATAAACACGGCACATGGAACCTGTACCAAGCTACCAATATCCTTCTGAGAACCTGGGAATAAAAAGTTTAACTGAATTTTTTTTTTGTTGTTGCATAAATTAAGTGTTGCGGTGGCAAACAACACACTCCCACACACGCGTTGTCATCTTAAAGCTCTAACTGTCCTCTTTAAGGAGCAACAGGACTTCTAAGAGTGGCATGTGTAATGTGAGAGATATAAGAGACAACAATGAAGCCAATGCAGAGGACCAAAATACATTTCTGGATCTCAGAAGGATATGTGATATTTAGTGTGTAAGTTAAACACAGCAGAAAGGCATTGGAGTTTAGGGTGTAATATATACATTCAGAGGTCACTTTATTAGGTACATCTAGCTAGGACTGGGGTTGGGTCCACGGAGGCGCTGCAAGGGTGGGTGAGAGGTGGAAGCCATTCTGCACAGTATTTTCACTTTGTACTTGTTAGCCTTCCTGTTAGCTTTAACGAGTCTGACCATTCGCCTCTGACCTCAGAATTTAATGAGGTGTTTCCAGCCTCAGAAGTGCCAGTGACTGGGTGTTTTTTTCTTTTTTTTTTTGTTCATCACACGATTTTCTGGAAACTCTCGACACTGTGGGGCGTGAAAATCCCAGGATGATGACTGTTTCTGAGCTGCTGGACCCACCACGTCTGGCGCCGATGATCACACCACGTTCAAAAGCACTTAGCTCGCGCATCTAGGCCGTTCTTAAGCTCAGACACAAAGGAAGGGAATCTCTTGATCCAGTGTCTGTGCCGTATGTATGTCAGTTGTAGTCACATGGTTAGAGGAGCAGGCTGTTAGTGTTAATGAGCAGCTAAGAAACTGGCCACTGAGTGTAGATATAGTGCAGACACACACTGTAGCTTGATGTGTAATATACGCGCAACACAGATGCATTTCAGATAGTGTGTAACTTATGCAGACAGACAGGTCACATGCAGCACTGCGCAAAAGTTCTTAAGCAGTCAAAGAAATTTATGTTTAAATGAGTTTGATATTATGTTTGTCGAAGCGTATTAATTAATTCATTAATTGAGCTGGTGGTGAAATTTAACAAACGGTTGAGGCGCCCCTGAGGAGAGGTTTGGGAGCTGAGGCAGTGGTCATCTAGCCACCCAACAAGGCATCAGCAACTTTGTGGAGAAAAAAGAAATTTCTTCTGTGTTGCTGTTAATTTCCACAAACAAATAAACACTTACTACCTAGATAAATAGCTTTAAATATTTACTTCGACTGCCTAAGACTCTTGCCCAGTACTGTATTAATATTGTAGCTGTGCATCGTATTTCCAGTGAGACACGCAGCTTAGCTTAGCATGTAGCATGCAGCACAGACGCACGCTGTAGCCTGGGGCGTGATGTGTAACCCCTTTGCTGTCGTCCTTTGCCGCAGGCGGCCGCAGCGGCCGGTCAGCAGCTCCGAGGAACCGCCGGAGCACATGGGGGGCGGTGTGGAGCAGCGAGGGGAGCATCAAGCCCCCACCTGCTCCATCTGCTGCAAGACTAAGTTTGCCGAGGGTTGCGGACACACCTGCTCCTACTGCCGGACGAGGTTCTGCGCCCGCTGCGGGGGCAGAGTCTCCCTGTGCCCCGACAACGTGAGCCCCCCCCCTGCCGGATCCCCGTCCACCAGCCTCTCTGTACCCCCGTCTTGCAGTTTTCTGGATCTCATCTTGGTCTTTCGTCATCTGCTTGTTTCAATCAGTGATTTTCCAACCGGTCCATGGGGACAGTCCATGTTCTTGCAAAAATGGGGACTGTCTGGCAGGGAGCTGGGAGGGAGCAACAACGCGGGCCGTCTGGGGGCCCCCGAGGACCGGGCAGAGAAACACTGGTTTAGCTGACTACTTCTGCCAGACGGGGCAACACTGCACCTCATGCATGGTGGAGGGGTCCCACAGCAGGGGGGGGGGAAATATTTGTGAAATTTATGGGATTGTATTATCAAAAGCAATTGGTAAAATTTGCTAGCCCAGGGGGGTGGGGGGGCACAGTGGACCCCCTGCTTTGATGTGCCTGGGGGTCCCTCCACCCCTCCGCCTCCTGCACTATTGGGAATACTCCCTAAAAGTCCTGCCTCACATGGGTCACGGCTTTGGCGCCCTCTAGTGTTCATTCTGTTCATCTTGAATATCGCAAAAGAACTGAAAATGTAATCAGTCTTGGGTTTTATCTGACAGCCAGAGACCTGCAGACTCCATTTATCACGGGATAGAGAAATGGATTGATTGAAGACTTTCATGGAATGGGCAGCAGGGTTAGGTGGGACCATTCATACAATCCACTGGGGCGGCGCTCTACACTACAGCCTTGCACCCTAGATGTGTTCCATGCAAACTTCAGTAGGAACTTCACCTACAAGACATGTCCAATAACCAATCAGCATGAAGCGTTCTTCGTTATCGCCACAGTATATGGGGGGGGGGGGGGGGGGG